AGTTCGAAAGAGGTAACTTGTAATTCGGAGTTGGTAGTCTTTGTAGTTTGAAGCCGCGACGTCCGTCCAAGCCTTTGTAGTACGGACAGAACCGAACCCGAACGGTTTCAGAATTATATTTGGAACCGACGGTTCCATTTACTAAATACCCGAAAATTTCTGAAACCGAACAAAATCGAACTGAACCGAATCGAACCGTCCCGCACCCATCCCTAGATACGATATGTAGAGAGCCAATCATGACCTGAATGCTTATACAACTTAGTGTAATAGTAGTGCTATAGTGAAGCAACATGTTGATAATGTATATTGGCAATAGTGAAAATAGTGTCATGACATGCTAGCAATGATGTGGCATGCATACTTGGCAGCAATAATATAATGCATATGCTAGCAGTAATAATGTAATGATACAAAAATACTAGTATCACAACAGTCTCCCAAGTTTGAGTAGAATATTAATATGCTGGTCGGACTTGGAATATAAGCCACTGTAATGAAGTTGATGTAGAAACGAGACTAAATATATAAGCAGCTGTGAGTCGATGCAGAGGCGATGAACTGGACATAGGTAGCAGAGGCAATGCTCTGAATGTGTAAGTAGCAGAGGCGATACTCTGAATGTGAGTAGCAGAGGTGATGCTCTGGACATAAGTAGCTATAATAAGCTAACATCTTTACGTGGAGATGGCGCATCCATGTTAAGGGCTTCCTCCATGGTATTAAGGTGGGCTCACCCCTGTCCTTATGAAGCGGTAAATAATATGAACTCTCTGAAGATTAGTGGATGTAACATAGTTGAAGCAGAAACAAAGCTCTGAAAGATAGGTAGTTGTAATACAGTCGATGCTAAGGTGCTGAGGTATGATGAGCTCTTTGAAGATAACTGCAGCTGTAATGCAACATCTGGTAAGGTGAGGCATCTCATAAAGTGAGGAATGACTATTGAGCTAGTGGCTCGTCTTGAACTTTCGATATCTTATATGCTAGCTGGACTCGACGATGGTGAGATGCGATGAATAAGCATCAGCGAGACGGGGAATAAACATCTCGTAAATAGCTCTCGAACTATCGAAGTCTTATAATCAGCCTCAGATAGACGAGGTCTTATAGCTAGACTCGACGATAGTGAGAGGTAAGGAATAAACATCTCGCAAAAACCAGGAATAATCATCTGGCAAGTCGAGGAATAAACATCTCGTGAATAGCTATCGAACTATCGGAGTCTTATGAGCAGCCTCTGATAGACGAGGTCTTACAACTTGTCTCTACGATAGTGAGAGGCGAGGAATAAACATCCCGCAAATAGCTCTTGAACTATCGGAGTCTTATAAACTGGCCTCGGATAGACGAGGTCTTATAGCTAGACTCGACGATAGTGAGAGATGAGGAATAAATATCTCATGAAGTTAGGAATGATCATTCGACGAGGAGGGGAATAAATATCTCATGAATAGTTCTTGAACTATCGGAGTTTTATAAGCAGCCTTTGATAGACAAGGTCTTACAACTCGGATCTACGATAGTGAGAGGCAAGAAATAAACATAGGCAAAAAATAATCATCTAGCGAGGCGGGGAAAAGACATCCCGCAAATAGTTCTTGAACTATCGAAGTCTTTTAAGCAGCCTCTGATAGACAAGGTCTTACAACTTGGCTCGATGATAATGAGAGGCGAGGAATAAACATCTCGCGAAGCTAGAGATAAGCATCTGGTGAGGCAGGGAATAAACATCCCGCGAATAGCTTTCGAACTATCGGAGTCTTATAAGCGGTCTCTGGTGATAAGGTCTTACAGCTAGGCTCGACGATAGTGAGAGACGATGAATAAACATCTCGCGAAACTAGGAATAATCATCTGGCGAGGTAGGGAATAGACATCCAGCAAAGCCAGGAAAGACTCCTTTTGCAAGGGAAAACACGTCTGGTTAGGGCTACAATGATGCTCCTTTTTCAAGGGCAAATATTTCGAGATCCCACATCTTCCTTTATTCAAGGAACGAGGACTCCAAGATACTGCTTCTTCCTTTATTCAAGGAATGAGAACTCCAAGATATCGCCTATTCCTTTATTCAAGAAATGAAGACTCCAAGATGCCACCTCTTCCTTTATTCAAGGAACGATGACTCCAAGAAATACCGCATATTCCTTTACTCAAGGAACAATGACTCATAGAAATACCACATTTTCCTTTATTCAAGGAACGATGACTCATAGAAATACCGCATCTTCCTTTATTTAAGGAACGAGGACTCCAAGATGCCGCATCTTCCTTTATTCAAGGAACGAGGACTCATGGAATGTTGCCTCTGATGATAAGTAATCCTCGAGCTATGGCTCACCTTCAGTAAATAAGAAAATCACAAGCTAGGGCCCGCAAGCTAGCTTCGGACATACGAAGTCCTGAAACTTGCATTGACTAATATAGAAGATCAAAAGGGCCTTAAATAAGAGAAATACCAACTAGACATTTTGTTGAACGCTTGGTATGCATAGTTGTGATTTTGTATTTTATGCCCAAGCTGTAGTCCATGGCCTCAACAAATCGATAAATAAGGCAAATTCTCCTCAAATTTCTTGCATGACGTCAACTCTATACACAGTTTAATCTCTAACCAGACAAGATTAAAATATAGAATTCAATTCGTATGACACCAATTAAACAAAGTAAAACACGCAGCTTTTGGACTCTTACCAATCGAAGATTGAGATTGAGCAAATGTGACGCAGGTCATAGTTTTAATTTATCTTTCCAACATGTAGTCATGTCTATTTATGATATTAAACCCGCATATACCCTCATTAGGTTAATGTAAAATTCTTGCTGGTATCGGAAATAAAAATATGGTTCAATGAAGATGTAACATATATCAAATGGACATGATGAAATTTAGCAATTGACTAAATGATGTCTTACTGCCATTAACTCACAAGAATCATGGGATAGAAGATAGTTGACTATCAAAATAAAAATAGCTGGATTGGGCTTTACATTTATACACATCGATTTTTGTATCATAGATCAGTTG